ATAAAATACTTACTAAAAATGACAAAACTAACCATTATATTAGTTGGCAAACTTTTATTTTGTTTTAAAAAGAATAAACTTGTACTAATAATACATATAAATGAACATTCAATTAGAAAGGATTTGGCTCCCCTCCATTACCCCTTCCCTTCATTTCGTCAAGTGTAACTCTAGATGAGAGACATGTGTCTTATTTAAAATTTAAAGGACAAGATTATATTAACAAATATCATAGTCACAGTTGAGTCAACTAATTTTAGAAAACTACTCTCTAAATTTGGTAAAAATTACAATATATTTCATACAAAATTTAATATTTATTAATATCATTAATTTCATCTTATATTTTTATATTTCAATATTAAAATTGTAGAACATGAAACGTTTATATTTAATGTGATAAATAATAATCTTCAAAAACATTTACATTTAAAACAATGTTTTCTTTTATTTCAAAAAAAAAATGATAAAAGAATATTTAGAAAAAAACGTATATGTTTTCCCTTCAAACGTACAATAGCCACATTTTCTCCTTGAAATAATTTTGGTATCGTTTAATTTCTTAAAATCTTTTGTCTTTTTTATTTATTTTGTGTTCTTTTATTTTATGTTTTTTTTTCAACATTGATAATTCTTTACTTTTCTTTTTGTTTCTCAGCATAGTATAATATTTCAAGAATAAAGTTTACTAGTACAAAATATTATTTATTTGATTTTCACCTTAAACATTATACAATTTAATATTTAAGTATAAAAATATAAGATGAAATTAATGATATTAATAAATATCCAATTTTGTATGGAATATATTGTAATTCTTACCAAATTTGGAGAGTAGTTTTCTAAAATTAGTTGACTTAACTATGATTATGATATTTGTTAATATAATATAATATTGACCTTTAAACTTTTAATTGTTAATATAATATAATATTGACCTTTAAACTTTTAAATAAGACACATGTCTCTCATCTAGAGGTGCACTTGATGAAATGGAGGGAAAGGGTAACGCAGGGGAGTCGGATCCAATTAGACATACACCATGTATTACAATGCTTTAGTTACTATATCGATCTATTATTATCCATACCTAACTTGTTGCTAACAAAAATTAACGTTACCAACAAGGGTTGTGGTGGAGTGATAAGTACTCCTTCATTCTTAACCAAGAGGTCTCGGGTTCGAGTCCTCTTGGGTACGGAGTCGCCTTTGTTAGGGAGTGCTTTACCCCTAATGTGGGACTTTCCGGCGTGAATCCGGATTTAGTCGGGCTCCAATGTGGATACCGAACACCGGGTAGGAAACCAAAAACAAAAAATAACGTTAATCATCATCCACTAAATTTACTTTACTTAGGGTGTGTTTGGTATGAAGGAAAACATTTTCCGAAAAAATATTTTCCAATTTTCTCATGTTTGGTTGGGTTAAATGTCTTGGAAAATGTTTTCCAAATCAACTCATTTTCCTCAAATTTAAGGAAAATGACTTCCCTTCAAAACTTAAGGAAAACATTTTCCAAAACTCTCTTCCAACTTCAAATTACAATTTTTTTTGTCCCTACCCTCAAACCAACCTGCGACCCCCCTCCCCCACCCCAAAAAAATAATAATAATTTAAAGCTTGTTTTTAAAAAATGTTTTTAACTTCAATTTTTTCACCCCAGCCCCCTACCACCACCCCCAAAAATAATATTAAAAGTTATTTTTAAAAGATATTTCTAATTTCAATTTTTTATTATTTTACCCCCCTACCAGCCCCCCCACCCCCTTCAAAAAAAAATATTTTCTACTTTCAATTTTTTATTTTTTTCACCCCTATCCTCGACCCTCCCCCAGCCCCCCCCCCCCGCCCCCCCCAAAAAAAATAATTTAAGTTTGTTTTTAAAAAATATTTTCAACTTTATTTTTTCACCCCTACTTTCGACCCCCCCCCCCCCCCTCCCCAAAAAAAAAAAATTAAGTTTATTTTTAAAAAATATTTATAATTTCAAAAATTATTTTCTACTCTAGCTGTAAAAATAAAAGATATTTCTCAAAAACATTTTTCATTCATATATCAAACACTAAAAATCTTTTCCGAAAAATATTTTCTACTAACCAACCAAACATGAGAAAATAAGTCAAAAATCTACTTGTTTTCCAGGATATTTTCCTTCATACCAAACACACCCTTAGTCATCATCTTTCAACCGCGTCAATAATTCATAGGACATGCAATATATAGTTCATAAAAATCGAACACTTAACACATTCTTAATTTATTACTCCATGTATTGCATAATTTATTTATAAAAAAAAAATTGAACCACATTTGACAGCTTTGAAAATAAATAAATATTCAGACTCGAGCATTATGACATACAACCATCTAGTATATTACCAATCAGAGGCTAGAAATTCTTCAACAATAATAACTATACCTCAATCACAATAAAGTAGAAGTTAGAAATTCATCACGATTTTGAAATGCATGTTATTTTTGGTTAAAAGTTAAACCGGCTTTACTTAGTGAAATTAAAGTGTTTATGTGGGGAGAGAAGAAGGACCATGTATTATTACCTAAGAATAAAACTTTGAGTTTTCCACGCAATTTTGACAATTTGAACTACAACTTTTAATCACTATCTCTCAATTGTTAATTAATCTTTCTCTTTTATATAAAGTTAAAAGTTAAAATTGCAAGGCAATCAATGTGTACCATAGTATTATTATACATTTATAAGACTAAAGCAAGAAGGTTCAAAGTGACAACACAGCCTTTATGATAATAAAAAATCAACCTTTGAATTATAATTAGATCATCAAAGCAAAATGCTCTATTCCCTGACAGATATATTATATTTAACACGTTGTCCCAAAAAAGAAAAAATGTAAAACAAGAGAAAGAAAGACGGTACTTCCTTCGTTTCAATTTATTTATTTTTTTATTTTAAAAAAAATATCTCTTTTCATAGAACATGTTTAAGATTATAAGATTGAAAGATATATACATTCCACATATTTTTAGTATACGATTATAAAATCCAAAAGTTTTCTTTATTTTTTTAAACGTGTCAAATCAAAATCAAACAAATAAATTAAAATAGGGATTATGTAAAAAGAATTACATTTTGGGTTCAATCATTGAGAAAAGCTTATATTAATTATTTATTGCATGATATATATATATATATTGGCTGTTGAATTTGGGTGAACAGTATCCACAAAACCTTAAAGTTTAATCCTTTTTGTCTACCAAAATTATTATTATTATTATTATTTAGGCTAAAGAAAATGTATCTAAAAAAGAAGAAGGAAGGAGAAGAGGGGGTTGTTATGGAAAATATTGTCTAACAACATAGAGCACCAAATAAGTAAAATTTATCGAGCCAAACGAAATGAAAGAAAGCCTACTACTTTGATCAAGTTAGAGGAATTAATTAAGGAGGTGTTTGGTATATATGAAGGAAAACCATTTCCTAAGAAACATTCTTTTAATTTTCTTATGTTTTCGTGTAGAGTAAAATATTTTTAAAATACTTTCTCTAGAAAAAAAAAAAGGTTTGAGTAAATTGGAACATCTGATAAACATAGCGAAAACAAATTTCATAAATAATATTTCACACTAATTGTGTTCTTCCTACCCTTCAAGCAAACGCTACCTTCGTAGTATTTGAATACAAACATTTTGAAAACAATATTCTCAACTTTCGAAAATAAGTATCAATCCACTTATTTTCACCAAAATATTACTTATTTAATTTTTTTGTTGAAATTCTTTTTTGTACAATTTATTTGGTGGTTGTGGGTTAGGCTGGCAAGTGGCATCACTTGAAGCCTAATTAATGTATAGAAAAGCATATTAAGGTAAACTTTATGTCACTAGTATGCAATTTACAAAATTAAGAAATTAGTTTAATTTCATTTCATTAAAATTAAACAGTATAGGGATAAATGAGAACCCACCAAGACATGATAAGTCTAGCAAGTAAAGCAATTGCAAAGCTAATCATATCTTGCCTTTTCAATCATCAGCCAAATTGATCTTCTCAATTGGAGCCACAACTGCATGTAAACTCTAATTATTGATGCCAAATGGCAACCAATCATTGGTCCACCCATCATTTCTTGATATTTATTTTAGCTGATTAGGAGTTTCATTTTGTTTAGCAATTAATTAAAATCAAACCCCTCTCCAAAAAAAAAAAAGAGAAGAAGCATGACATAGCTGTAGTGGCGCTTAGGATTGGGTGATGACATAATAAAAGAAAATCTTGGGACCCTTAAACTTCATAGTGCTCTTTTGCATTTAAAAAAAAATATATATAGTAGAATATTATTTGTACAAATATTATATTCAATAGTGAACAGACCTACTTTCCCCTATATAAATACTTCAATCAAGCCCTTCTCATTTCACTGTCAGGTAAAACAACTTGCAAGTCTTTGCAAACTCATAGCACTTCTTTGTGTCTAGCAATAGAGAGAGTGCTAGAGATTTGAACCAAAAGAAAAAAAGAAAAGAAAAAAAGATGGCTTTTTCTGCAGATCACTGGGCTTTTGTTTTTGGTGTCCTTGGTAAATATATACCTCTTGTTCCTTCCTTTTTCTCTTAATAACATATTCAGTGTAATTCCACAGAGTGGAAAATCACAGTGCGTGTAATGTGTAATAATTATAACATGCATAAGTTTAATATAGTAATTTACATGCGTCTTTCTCCTAAATCATTTTTTTTCTATTGAAAATTGCAGGAAACATCGTTTCGTTCATCGTATTCCTTTCTCCCCTGTACGTCCTTATTTGTTTGTTCGGTTTATTTAAAATGTTTACTACTTTGAATTATAATCTAACAATAGAGTTTCACAAATATTCCAGGCCAACGTTTTACACAATTTATAAGAAGAAAACAGCTGAAGGTTACCAATCAATTCCATACGTGGTTGCTCTCTTTAGCTCCATGCTATGGATTTACTACGCATTTTTGAAGACGAACACAACACTTCTCATCACTATTAACACATTTGGTGTCTTCATTGAAACTATCTACGTTGGTTTCTACCTTTTCTACGCACCAAAAAAATCTAGGGTAAGTTTTTACGACAAATTCATAATAATTTTTTCTTAAAAAAAAATTCTGATATTTATAATTAATTTAACGCAGGTCCAAACTATAAAGATGCTCTCTTTATTTGTTGTGGGTGGATTTGGTGCAATAATTTTGGTTACTCAATTTCTATTCAAAGGAGCCATTCGTGGACAAGTTGTTGGATGGATTTGCCTTATTTTCTCCTTATGTGTATTTGTTGCACCCTTAGGCATTGTGGTATGCTTTTACGTTATAATATTCGAATATTATATTTTTAAATTCCATGCATGATTTGGTGCTAATTTTTCTTATTATATTTCATGCAGAGAAAAGTGATCAAAACAAAGAGTGTGGAATACATGCCATTACTTCTATCAGTTTTTCTCACATTAAGTGCCGTTATGTGGTTCTTCTATGGTCTTCTATTAAAAGATATTAACATCGCTGTAAGTTATTTAATTATTAGCGTGCACGTAAAATTATATTGTTTTTTTTTATTTTATAAAATATTCTAACGTACTACCCTTGTTATGTTTTATTATTTATAGGCTCCAAATATATTGGGATTCATCTTTGGTATACTCCAAATGATTCTGTATGTAATATACAGCAAAAAGGAGAAGGCCATTCTAAAGGAACAGAAACTTCCAGAGATACAAAAGGCTGAAGTCATTGTGAAGGATGAGAACATGAACACTAATAACAAGTTTCCAGAACTTACACAAGAACAAATTATTGACATAGTGAGGCTTGGTTTAATGGTTTGCAAAGATAAAGTACACGTGGCGACGTGTCCACATGGTACTACATGTGAAGCTAAAGTTGATGAGAATCTGCCCAAGTTGCAAACCGTGGAGGTCTAGACAGATGATGGATTATCTACTCTTGACTGGCAAAGCGAGCCCCTGAATTAAAGAACAAGGATAGAAGTTTTAGAATTTGTTTTAGTCTTTAGTTTCCTAATCCTAAATGTGTTTTATACACAATTAGTTGAATTTTCCTAAGTCTTTAGTCTTTTTTTTTTTACCTCTTTGCTCTAAGATAGCTAGATAAAATGTGTGTTGGATTTTCTTTTATTAGCAATAAAAGTTTTAATTTTTTTCACTAATTCTTCATTGAGTTAGAATTTCTATTTGGTGTGTCGTTTTTGAGATTTAATACCAAACTTACAAATGAATTAGTGATGTAGATTGTATGCCAAGTCCAGACCCCTCACAACCTGCAGCCTGCAGGTGGATTCCAATTTCTAAAATAAGTATACTATATATAGATAATGTATACTTATTATATATATATGTTATGTAATACATATATTACACACACACATTTACGTAAAGTTTTCCAAGAATTAAGCGAATGATGGGCTTATGATTTACTGAGCCCGACCTCCCACAAACATATTAGGCACATACAGACCAATTTTTTCCCTACATTAACGTAAATGGAAAAATTATGCGGTTAAGCAAATTTATATTATTTAAGTAGTCATTATAATTATAGTTTGTTATAATTATCATTAGCGATTAACTTTAACCGTTAATTATGTGGGTTGGGTTTTATGTTTGTATAATTCGTCACGTTTGTATAATTCGCAACTAACAATTCTTCTTTGATTTGTATTTGTATACGATGATTTGTATTTGTATATGACGGCAATTTCCTTTCGCTTTTCAGTTTTATCACTAGAACATTCAATATTTTTTGACTTTTTAAAGTTTGTATAAACATGTGATTTTTGAATTTTGTATAATATAATCTGTATAATGTAATTTGTATAATATAATTTGTATAATTATTTAAAGTTAAGATGTTTGTTTTTGTATCATTTCGTTGTTTCGAGGTTTATCATATTTGTATAATTCCAAAATTTGTATTACTCAATTATACAAATACACACGAATTATACAAACGTACCCACGAATTACACAAACGAGGTGCGAATTATACAAATTATTGCCTCTCTCTATCTCTCTCTCCCAAACAATTGCAGCTAGCCCAAAAAAATATTCTACATAAATATGATAATTGTTTTTGTATTATGTATCAAACGTATTTGTATTCCATATCAACTGTATTTTGTATTATGTATCAACTATATATGTATTATGTATCAATTGTATTCTGACAATTTGTATTTTTTCAATTGTATTTGTCGATATAAATTGTGTTCGTTTATACAATTATATTCGATATATGATACAAACCAATTGTCTTAATTGTATGCAGATAATTATATCTGTATTTCGTATCAGTTGAATTTGTATTCAACCGCTCTCATCTCTCTCCCAGACAGGGGCGGACCCACGTGGGATCCAGGGGGTTCACCCGAACCCCCTCGGCAAAAAATTACACTGTATATATAAAGTAAATTTTCTGTATTTCTGTAGATATATAAATTTTGAACCCCCTTAATGACAAGGAGAAGCTAATGGCGCAGTGGCAAGTTACCTTGAAATTTACCTTCATAACACCAGTTTGAATCCCAGTTGATAGCGTTTTATTTTTTTCTTTTTTAGTTTTAGTTTTTTTTTTTTTGTGTGGTTTTAAACCCAAAAGAATTCAAGGGTCCATTTCTAAAGGGTTATTTACATGTTTATACTTTTATTTTTTGAACCTCATGAATAAAAATCCTGGGTCCGCCACTGCTCCCAGATCTCGCTGGCCTCTCTCCTCTCCATAAAATGTAGCTATATTTCGTAATTAAGCAAATTATAAAAATAGATCCCTAATTAAGCCCAAACTTTAGTCATTTTTAAAAGTTTACCACACAATTATGTGGATATTTTTTAGTATATATTATTTAGAGCTAATAAAATTAGCTTATGAAATTATATTTAGAGATAGCAAAATTAGCCAATGACATCATAATCCATTCAACCCGCTAAAGTTAGATGGATTATTGAGTTGCTCGTTCATTAGCCTAGCTCATTGTGGCCCATCAATATTTGGGATGATATCTAATTCAAGTTGATTCATGAAATTTTTTATTATCTACATTTTAGCTCATTTTCGTACAAATAATTTTGGACATATCAAGAATTTTTCAATTTAATAAGGCCAAACACATACATAGCCTCTTTAACTTATCTTTAAATTTCATTTGGCACTCCAACTTAACTTTGTATCACTTTAACCCTCCAACTCCATTTGTAATGTATCATTTAAACACAAAATGCTGTCCAGATAGATTAATAAAATTATTCACCTTTTAAACGTATGAGGAGTTCTTTTTAACATTAATATTCAACATTTTTTTATAGTTAACAACCTTCTCCCTTATTTATTTTCTCTAACTTCTCTTCAATTCCATTTTTTCCTTCATCTATTTTACTTATCCATTTATTTTCTTCATCTACCTAGCCATTTAACAACTTAGTCATTTTAAACCGCCCCAATTCAATTAAATTTGCTCATTTTTCATACCTCAATTCAATTCAATTCGCTCATTTACCATCGACTTTGGTTGATGGATAGAAATATTAGTAATGTATTTTAATTGGCATGCAAACGTTGTCCAGTGTACACGTAAATGGCTGTCCCATTATCTTTTGTTTCCATGCTAGCTTTAAGAGCAAAACAGTAAAGCATCAATATTTTATCCTCTTAAATATCTGTAGCTCACACTTCCTTTTTTGATCATTAATCATCATCTATCTCAAAAAATAGTTCCACGCATTAAAACATTAATATCTGTTCATATTTCAACTTTTCATTCTGTTTTTATGCTTAATTATTCTGTCCATGGGATAAGATCTACTAGGGAACAAATGTCTTTTAAATTTACAATAGATCGATATTGTGATAGTAACAATATAAATTAATAGAGTGTACAATATTATTCTTATTAAATGAAAAAGTAAGTTGAACAGAAATATTTTCGTTATTTGGGATGTTTTTTCAGTTTCTGATTAAGATTTTTTTTCTTTCTAAAAATAAAAAATTTCTTGGTTTGATTTCGGATTTTGAAACATAAAGATCGAAAACATATACTTTCTCTTTGTTCATTTGGTTTTCCTTATATTAGATTGAGATATATCTTCTATATTACGTTAAAAGTATGAACTCCTAACTTGAATGTTAAATTACTATAATATCCCTAACTTAGATTGTGATTTTTTCGATGAGTTGTGACTTTTTCGATAAGTTGTGACTTTTTCAATAAGTTGTGACATTTCCAAAGAGTTGTGAATTTTTCAATAAGTTGTGACTTTTCCAAAGGGTTGTGACTTCTTGAAAGGTCATGACTTTTCAGATAAGACACGAAAAATATTTGTTCATACTACCCTTTGTTGACTATAAATAGAGGGGCTTCCTCTCATTTTTCAACCACAATTTTTTTAATCTTCTACTCTTCTTCTTCTTCTTGCATTTTAATTTTTTTTGTGTGATTTATTGTTGTTGAGTGAGTTCGAAGTTTAGCGAAATATGAGGTACCCCTATTCTGATGAAGTCGTTCTATCCTAAGAGGGTATATTCCATAACTTCGAGTATTTGAGAAAAATAATTTTGATGATATGAGAATTATTTTTTTGCTTAATATATACATTAGCATGTAATACTCCAATATATGAAGCTAACATGATGTAGTATAAATTCATTTATTTTGTATTTAAATTAAAGTATTATATGTCACAAATGTATTATCAAGTTAACAAGATCTTCTAACTTCAAAATATATTATTTTAAAATGTTGTGATTTTTAAAAAAAAGTATTGGTCAAGCTAAATAATTGACATAACTCAAATCTCTATTTAACCATCATTCATTATAACAACAAAGTACCTTTTTTTTTTGTAAAGTTACCTCTCTATGATAGTCTTACTAAAATATTAATTGAGTACTAATATTTTATAAAACATATATTACATATAAAGATAAAATATTGAAATATTTATGGTAATCCTTATTTGTGTCATGCACATACTAAATTTCAAGTATGAATATTTAAGAGAAAAATTGTGCTTAAATGGTATCCATCATTTATGTTCATACCTTCAAGAAG